CCCTTGAGCTTGGAGAAATAAATCCAACTCCTCTCTCAACTGAAAAACTCTGTTGAGAACATTCACTGCTGACAACCACTGTATAGAAATGTAGAACAGCAACACTTCAAAGTCGGAACTCATCTCCAGGCAAAATCTTTTTAACAGTCTGGTGTTCAGAGCCGATGACTTGATGTGATTCACCACTTTCACCAACCCTTTGAAAATGGCATTCAGTTGATCAGGCAATATTTTTGATGCCAAAGCTTCCCTATGAATGAAGCAATGAACTCTGGTTTCACCAGCGTTTGGAAGCCCGATCTTGAGCCCAGCATGGCAGGTGCATCATCAGTGGTGACACCCATAAGATTTACCCAATCCAGATCATGTACGTCAAAGAAATTGTTAACAATTTCCATCACATCCTGAGCCTTTGTGGTGGTAGCAAGAGTCTTAAAAAGAAACTCGTCTTTGAAGTTTCCCTCAACCATGTATTGTGCGAACACCAATAGCTGAGAGCACAATGTGACGTCAGTCGATTCATCCAATTGTATGGCAAACAGTGGAGACTTCTTTATTTCATCTACAACTTGTTCACTGATGTTCTGTGATATCTCATTTATCCGTCTCGATACTGTGTCATTTGAGACAGATATACCATTCAGCTTCCTTGCTGCTTCCTCACCAAGAACAAGCTGCACCATCTCTTTTGCACAGGGGAGCACAAGTTGCTCTACAATGGTATGAGGCTTCTTGGCCTGTGCAACTTTGTTTGCAACAACGTAGGAAGTGCACACTGCATTGCTTGTCTTGTTGAGTCGAGGTGCTGCTGTTTCAGACCTGATAACCGCCGCTCAAAATAATCTTCATTCTTTTGCAACAAGTTGGGGTGACACTTTTTGAGATGGAGTTTCAGCTTAGCCGGCTTCATTGAGTCATTCCCCAAGACTTTAAACAAATAACATATTGTGGCAAATCCATGCTGCCTGTTTCTTGACAAGTGAAGCCGAATTTGATGTAATCCTCTGAATACTTGTGCTTGACATTTCTTCCTGTCGTTGCCATTATAAACAAACTACACCACACCTGTAAAACAGTACATGTAGCACAGGATGAACAACATGGCAACCATTCAGCACGATGGCGGCAGCTACACTGACGCTCAGAGCCTCAGATGGAAGTTACTGGCAATACAATGCAGTTGCGTCCTAGGTGACGCTATGGATGATGCGCCGCGTGCTTGTGAACATGGTGTAGCGGGTTCCCTCACTTTTTTTTTTCTGCCCAGTTCTTCCTTCCAGGGTGGACAGTTGGGGGAAGTGGCTGGCTGCTCGGACATGCCACATTTGGGTGTGGTGGTGGCTTCACAGCACTGACCTCTGGCAGTGACCACTCCTCAGTTGCTCTGCACCCACCTTCCGGGGGAGTATAGTCCATGTTGTTATGGTCCACTTCTCCTCCAGGGTCCTCCCGACACTCGGGGATCCCAAGTTCTTCTCCTTGGGGATTCCTAACTCCCTTCGAACTGTCCTAGCCTCAGGCCCCCTGCCAGCCCCTTAACAGCCCCTCCGGGCAGGCCGCAGGATCTCCAGGCCCCTACTCCCTGGCCACAGGCGCGCCTCTGCCTACCCGGTTGCCTCCTGGACTTATGGGCTGGGGCTTCCCTGGCTCAGCCTCCCCCCCGACTACTGCAGCTGCCTCCTTTCTAGCTATGGTCACCTCCTATGTGGCCCGGCCCTTTAGGGCTGCCTTCATTGCTCGCCCCGGCCCTTCATGACTGCCTCCTAGGCAGCACCGGACTTCAGGCTGTGTAGCCTGGGTTCCTCCTGCCTGAGCCTCCCCAGTGCTGCCCTCCTCCAGGGAGCCTTCTTCTTCCCTGGCTGTCAGATCTTAATTGCTCTCTCCTCCAGAGCAGCAGGCAGGTAACTCTCTCTCCTCCCAGGAGCTGTTCTTATAGCCCTCAGCTGGGCTCTCCTCCCTCCAGCTCCTTGGCCCCTTAAAGGGACTGGGCAGGGCAACACCCTGCCACAACGGCATAAAACAGCCTAACGGCAGCACTTGCTCATGCCATGTGACTTTGGACAATGTTCCTGTGGACCACCAAAAAAGTCACCGTGGACCACCAGTTGAGAACCACAGACCTGAGAGGATGGAAATGGGACAGGGAGTCTTGGGCTCTGGGCAAGAAGCATGGGGTTGGGATAAAAAGCCTGAAGAATGGAGCTGTAGACGCGCAGGGTGAGAAAAATGGGATTGGGACAAAGTACCAGGGGTGGAGAAGAGACAGAATTGGAACAGGAATATGTTTGGAGGGAAGTAACAAAAGCAGTGACTGGGGAACGGGACAGGGGAATGGAAGAAAAGTCTGTGACCTCTAGAGGTACTTTCCTCCAGAGCCAAGAATGAAACCCACAATTTTCTCAGTCTCTTCATCACTCTGCTATCAGCAAATGTCTGTGAAACTGAATGGCAAAGTGGGCCATATACCTGAAGTGTCAACATATTACACCCACCCGTCTGTAATTCTGTTAATTCAGTAGTAGAGCGCTGTGTGGTGGATCCAAAGATTCCCATGAGGATGTATTAACAAGGTGCCTCAGCAAAATGCAATTTCTGATTTTTTTCAGTTTAGTTTTTGAAAAGCTCAGAAATTACACACACAAAAATTATGTTAAAAGAACATTATCAAGTTAGCAATGTCAAGTACTCAAATGTATGCATTGTGATACAGTGTTTAATTTAATGATTGCATACTTTTTCCCCCACAGGACTCTGTCTCATTGAATACACAGGATAGCTTGTTGTGAGGATGAATCAGGGTTTTATAGTTGAAAGACAAGGTTGTGTTAGGACTCCTGCTTCATTTGTTGCACAAATTGGAAGATGTATAATGAATGAGGCAGAAAGGAAAAAAAAACTTACGATTAAAGCATTTGAATACTGCTGTGGAGAACTGGATTCTATCCCTGCCCCTGCCACAAAAGTCCCTATGTGATGCTAGTCAAGCCACTTAAACCAAACTTTCCACATGTAGCAATTAACTCATTTTCTAGGTGTCTCATTCATATCTGCAGTTGATGTTTTGGAAGCAGTGCTTTAACACATAAAGTGCTATATACTTAAAAAATCTGAAAAATCAGATTCTAATTGTCTCAAATTGGGAATCCAAAATTAAATATAGTTTAGATCTTAATTTCTCCATGCCTCAGTTTCCCATCTATAAAATGGGGAGAACAACACTCCCTTATGCCACAAGGATGTAGTGAAAAGTCATCAATGCATGTGAAGCACCAACATACCACAGTGATGAATGGGACACCCATTGAACAACAAGGATAAAAAACATTGAATAGCTGTTGATTAAGTAAATAATGTCTATTCTGTCCACTGAATGAAACCAGTTCCTTTGGAAAAAATAGCTATGTGATCATGAAAGTAAAGACTGATCATAATGCATTCTGTAACTGGAGACTAAACTGAAGTCACACTGGAATTTCTTAACGTTTGAATGCATGAGTTAAACTTAATGTTCTAGTAATGTAGCTTTGTGTGTGTGCACGATACAAACATATGTGCATATTTAAAATTGGAGCTAAAATTCCTTGGTCTTAATAAGAAGATATAAATTCATATGAAAACTGTATGTCTAATAATTTAATATAGACTTAAATAATTACTATCCAGAATATATTAAAATCAGGACTGATAACATTTATGAAAGAATAAGGCCACTCTCACATTTTTAATAGTGCAAGTAAAAACAATTGTTCACAAATTCATATGCTGTTAAGTTCCAGTAAGCAATATGGTCTACCTGGCCAAGTTCCTCATTGAGATTGGATGTACGAGCCATGGAGGCAGTATCTGTAGGTTCGTAATGCATGTCTATATCCTAAAGACAGATATAAGTAGTTAAAAGCTAGTTTTCCACATTTTGAAAAGATAAAACACTTAGCTTCTTTATTGTTGTTGTTTATTATTAATACATAGGCTTGGCAGAATTCAATTTTTTTATAATTTCACTAAATAGTATCTATGTTTAATTTAAATTTTCAATAATGGGAAATTATGGGGACTGCTAAACAATGGGGTTGGGGAATCAGGTAATAATTATTTAATGACACTGCATGTTAAGACTCAAAATGTTAAAGCCTTATAAAGTTATATCACAAATTGTCAACATTATATGTCAAATCATAAAAATCTCTAAATAAAACTTGAATAAGTTCAGTTGTGGCATTTTTCTGACTTTGCTTATCTGTAAAATATTATTATACTCATGGAAACATTTTTGTCATCTTGTGTGTATATAGTGAAATTGAAGTTTACTGACATTTAACTAATACTTCCAAGCCTAGATATATTGAACCTGACTATAAATTGTTTATTTTATGTCATATATTTCAACTGAAAAACCTTTATAGGCAATCAGATGAGTACAAAAGGTGCTCTGAAATAGAAATATGTTTTCAGCTTTTAAACTAATTTCATGACTTGACTTATATTTTAGAGACCATTTTCATTCAGATGATTTTAATGATCTGTGTATGAGAAAGTAACCATATCAATATATTGAAAATGGGTACCACTGAAAATAAAGATAAACCATATTAAAGTACCAACTTATCTGCAAAAGCCTTATGATTATGCTAAAGGCATTTTAAAGTTTGTAGTTTCATATTAGACTCAAATAAATTTTAAAGACACAGACTGTTTTTCATGTGTTCCCCTCTTATGGTGTCACCACTGTAACTTAGCCTTCACTCTGCCTTAACTGGAAATTTCCAACCTTAAATCTGTTTGGCTTTCTAATGTATGTGCTTGTCATCAGCTTAACTGTTTTATTTAAATCTTTTAATCCTTTTACCCATTCTCTGTCTTTTTTTTTTTGTCTTTTAGAGTCTAAGGGTACGTCTACAGTGCATGCTTATTTCAGAAAAAGTTATTCCGGAAGATATATCAAAAATAGCTTATTTTAAAATAAAGCGTCCATACTACAGGGAAGCCTCAAAATTAGTCCAAGGCAGGTTCTCCTAATGTGGATGTGCTATCTCAATTTAGAGCCCCAGGAAGCACTGGAGAGAAATTTCTTAGAATGGCCGTGGTAAGGAGCTATTTAGAAATAGCAGTAGAGAAGCATTCATACTGCAGCTATTTTGAAATATCTATTTCGGAAGAGGAGTTATTCCTCGTAGAATGAGGTTTACAGAAGTTGGAATAAGTCGCCCATTATTTTGTTATTATTTTGAAGTAATGTAATTGTTGTGAAGACACTCGCATTGTTATTTTGTAATAACACCAATTATTCCGAAATAACGGTGCAGTGTAGACACGCACTAAGGGTATGTCTACACTACAGCACTAATTCGAACTAACTTAATTCAAATTAGTTAATTCGAATTAAGCTAATTCGAACTAGTGCATCTAGACCTAAAAACTAGTTCGAATTAAGGGCTGTGTAGCCACTTAATTCGAACTAGGCATTAGTCCTCATGAAATGAGGTTTACCTAGTTCGAATTAAGGGCTGTGTAGCCACTTAATTCGAACTAGGCATTAGTCCTCATGAAATGAGGTTTACCTAGTTCGAATTAAGGGCTGTGTAGCCACTTAATTCGAACTAGGCATTAGTCCTCATGAAATGAGGTTTACCTAGTTCGAATTAAGGGCTGTGTAGCCACTTAATTCGAACTAGGCATTAGTCCTCATGAAATGAGGTTTACCTAGTTCGAATTAAGGGCTGTGTAGCCACTTAATTCGAACTAGGCATTAGTCCTCATGAAATGAGGTTTACCTAGTTCGAATTAAGGGCTGTGTAGCCACTTAATTCGAACTAGGCATTAGTCCTCATGAAATGAGGTTTACCTAGTTCGAATTAAGGGCTGTGTAGCCACTTAATTCGAACTAGGCATTAGTCCTCATGAAATGAGGTTTACCTAGTTCGAATTAAGGGCTGTGTAGCCACTTAATTCGAACTAGGCATTAGTCCTCATGAAATGAGGTTTACCTAGTTCGAATTAAGGGCTGTGTAGCCACTTAATTCGAACTAGGCATTAGTCCTCATGAAATGAGGTTTACCTAGTTCGAATTAAGGGCTGTGTAGCCACTTAATTCGAACTAGGCATTAGTCCTCATGAAATGAGGTTTACCTAGTTCGAATTAAGGGCTGTGTAGCCACTTAATTCGAACTAGGCATTAGTCCTCATGAAATGAGGTTTACCTAGTTCGAATTAAGGGCTGTGTAGCCACTTAATTCGAACTAGGCATTAGTCCTCATGAAATGAGGTTTACCTAGTTCGAATTAAGGGCTGTGTAGCCACTTAATTCGAACTAGGCATTAGTCCTCATGAAATGAGGTTTACCTAGTTCGAATTAAGGGCTGTGTAGCCACTTAATTCGAACTAGGCATTAGTCCTCATGAAATGAGGTTTACCTAGTTCGAATTAAGGGCTGTGTAGCCACTTAATTCGAACTAGGCATTAGTCCTCATGAAATGAGGTTTACCTAGTTCGAATTAAGGGCTGTGTAGCCACTTAATTCGAACTAGGCATTAGTCCTCATGAAATGAGGTTTACCTAGTTCGAATTAAGGGCTGTGTAGCCACTTAATTCGAACTAGGCATTAGTCCTCATGAAATGAGGTTTACCTAGTTCGAATTAAGGGCTGTGTAGCCACTTAATTCGAACTAGGCATTAGTCCTCATGAAATGAGGTTTACCTAGTTCGAATTAAGGGCTGTGTAGCCACTTAATTCGAACTAGGCATTAGTCCTCATGAAATGAGGTTTACCTAGTTCGAATTAAGGGCTGTGTAGCCACTTAATTCGAACTAGGCATTAGTCCTCATGAAATGAGGTTTACCTAGTTCGAATTAAGGGCTGTGTAGCCACTTAATTCGAACTAGGCATTAGTCCTCATGAAATGAGGTTTACCTAGTTCGAATTAAGGGCTGTGTAGCCACTTAATTCGAACTAGGCATTAGTCCTCATGAAATGAGGTTTACCTAGTTCGAATTAAGGGCTGTGTAGCCACTTAATTCGAACTAGGCATTAGTCCTCATGAAATGAGGTTTACCTAGTTCGAATTAAGGGCTGTGTAGCCACTTAATTCGAACTAGGCATTAGTCCTCATGAAATGAGGTTTACCTAGTTCGAATTAAGGGCTGTGTAGCCACTTAATTCGAACTAGTTAATTCGAACTAACAGACGTCAGTTCGAATTAACTTTGTAGTGTAGACATACCCAATGATATTCAAATAGGCAGTGCATTTTGTCTTCTTTTCTTGTTGTACAATGCTTATAACATTTTAGTGCTATCATAAAATGAACCAACAGAAATATAATAGTTGATGAGTTGCTGTTCTTTTTTAATCTTCATGCATATCTCACACACATTTATTTTACACATCACATCTCGCACACAGAGATATTTATTTTTACATATTTGATCAAGGTACAAGATCATACAATTTGGAATAGTGTTTCCACAGCGGGAATTTTTCTATCAGTTGTGGGTACTTAATTTTCAAAACCACTCAAACTAAAGGGGGTTTAATGTAAATAAGAATAAAAGAGCAAAACCCTAAAGCTTGCCTAAAAGATTATTAGAAGGGGGCATAATTGGTCTACGCATATTTGGAGTCAAGCACACAAAGGCAGAGAATTTATTCAGTGTAGTACCAGAATGTATAATCAGAAGGAAGTGGATGAAATTAACAAAGAAAATTTACGCAGAATATCAGAAAAATGTCTTGAAATAGATGTATCTATTAGAACACATAATGGTTTTCCTTTGGGGTCTACTCAAAGCCCTACTGGCAGAACATTTAAAAATTGGAAAGAGAAAAATACTGGAAATATGCTGCAGAAAAAAATCCTGAGTTTCCAAAGAACAGTATCTGATCACATAACATTTCTGGTTTCTATGATACTGTGATTAATATTACATATTTTAAAATGTGGACTTATGTATCAGCAAAAATTAAAGAAAAATGAAGATAAAAAGATTTTTATCTATAGAAATGAACTACCTATCATGATTTACGAACAAGTGGTAATATTTGGTTTTAGAAATAAATGTAAGTCATAATAAGTGTCATATTTACCCAATTTATGAAATATGCCTGGATAAATTTAACAACTTCTAATGTAACCAATAAGCTGATGGGAATGAGATTATTGAAAAGAATGATAAAAGTCAAGAAATTCAGTCCAAAATTGTTAGCTCCACCATCTGTTAAAATAAAAGAAAGCATTTGTAATATTAAACACTCTTTTGATTAGGCAATCAATAGACAACATTTGTTGATTTGTTGACTTTTGTGAAATATACACATGTAAGTTCTTTAGGTATTTTGAGATGTGTTATACCACCTCCCCTATAATATAGGGATTGTGATCACATGCAGTTTTAATTTACTTAACATTTTTTTTCCAAATTTGAAAAAGCAGATTACCTGAATTTTTCCTCTTTAGACATATCCCTATATTTCTGCATGTGCTTTGTAGAGAAGATCAAACCAATTTGAATAAATAAAGAACAACTGAACTTTTACTCTAAATATGGGCTTTCTAAATTTGAGAATCTTTTTTAAAGTGAAACTTGTGGGAAGGGAAAGAACACATCCTAACACCTCCTCTACACATCTTACTTCCGATAGTTGAAGGTAAAGCAACAAGATACTATATGAAATGGTATTGTCATGGTTTTTACAAAAGGCACTAGGGATGTGAACGCATAACTAGTTAACCAGTTAATAGGTAAGAAGTTGTGCAGTAATGGTGGTTCTTCGAGATATGCATCCCTGTTGGTGCTCCACTCTGGGTGCAGGTGTGTTGTCGTGCCGGTGACCAGAGATTTTTCTAGTATTGTCTGTCACGTCGCGGCACCCTCTTGTGCTGTTAGTATCCATTAGGCACGTGTATGGCACATCTCCCTCCATTCCTTCTCTACCCGTGCTAGTAGAGCATGAGGCTCCAAAGCAGGGGAAAGAGAGAGGGTAGTGGAACACCCACGGGGACATACATCTCGCAGAACCACTATTACTGCACAAAGTGAGTAACTCTTTCTTCTTCTTCAAGTAGTCTCCCTGTGGGTGCTCCACTCTGGGTGACTATAAAGCAGTAGTCAGCTCATGGAGGTGGGTTTGGAAACCTGTTGTTGTGACAGAGAATAATACTGCTTGTCCGACATCCATGGATGATGCAATAGAAGATGCCAGAGCGTAATGTTGTACAAATGTGTGGTCTGATGACCAAGTGGCTGCATTTGCAAATTTCCTGAAGAGGTACATTTTTGAGCAAAGTGGCTGTAGAGGACATGGCCCTAGTGGAATGGGCAGTGATGGTGCCCGGTGGTTCTTTGTTGTGGATGGTGTAGCATGTGTAGATGCATGAAGAGCTCCACTTGGAGATCCTCTGAGAAGAGACAGCTTGACCTTTAGATCATTCCACAAAGGATAGGAAGAGTCTAGGAGATATCCGCCAGGGTCTCGTAAAATCAATGTAGAATGCGAGCAATTTGTGGACATCGAGGGTGTGCCATGCTGCGTTTGATGGATCAGTGTGTTGCTTGGTGAAAAACGCAGGTAAGTGTATCAGTTCACTGATGTGGAAGGGAGAGGGAACTTTTGGGAGAAATTTGGGGTAGTGTCGAAGTGTCACTCTGTCTTTGGTGAACATTGTATAAGGGAGGTCTGCCATTAGGGCAGCAAGTTCCCTCACTTGTCTACTGGAGGTTATTGCGACCAGAAGTCCTGGGCCATGATGTCACACCACGTCCAGGTATCTCCCCTCTCAGCTGTTGCGTGGCATTTGAGCACGCCGCTCATGTGCTCCCTTGGCCCCACCGTGCCCCGTACATGGCCGGGGCCGGGGAATTTAAAGTGCAGGGCTGCGGTGCCCTCTCACAATCCCCCTCTTCCTCCAGCAGCCGCCAGCCGGCCCTTCGGAGGACAGCCCACTGGAAAATTCCCGGTATCCCGCCAGGCCAGTCTGCCCCTGGTGCCAGTGAAGGGCAGCTCCTGACAGGAGCTTCGTGCCGTCAATGCTAAGGTTCTCATATTGCTCGGTGCAATGGAAGTAGGCAGTGCTGATTGGTCTGGTGGTGGCATATCGGCACAGGGTCTCTTGGGTGCCGATGCCGAGTGAGTTGGCTGCTTCACTGTCTAGCAGTGTTTGTATTGGCTGTTTGGTGCAGCTGGTGCTGCTTGTTTTTGTTTGGGCTACGAGTGCGCCCTCTTATTCAGTGCCGACATCTTGGGCAGTGCCGTGCCCGATGTGCTGGGCCTGTCCACAGTGCTGACCCTCGAGGCAGTCGGTGCCGAGGGTAAGGATTGGGCTAGAGATAGTCTCATTTGTGAGACGGACTTGTTAGAAGAGATAGAGGGACGTGATATATCCTTGCTCTGGCCATCAATTTGGAGCAGTGAGGGCACTTCTGTGTTTGGTGCAATACTCCAAGGCACTTTATACATGCAGAATGCTCATCAGAGACAGGCATAGCATCCTGGCACGCCTCTTGAAGGCAGGGAGATCTCTGCATTAGGTGCAATGAAAAGCGGTGGGCCAACAGAATTTTTTTTTTTGGCTATAGGGTTGGGCTTAAAACTTGGAAATGTGAGGAAACTAAGTGGAATTAACTGGTTTTTTTTTTGTCGTTTCTCTGTAGAACAGCAGGAAGGAAAGAAGCTCTATCTGCTGCCATGGACAGTGGAGAAGGAACTGAGAGAGCTGCGCCATGCATGCACCTAATGTACACCAATGGCACGAGGGGGAACCATGGCGTGTGCACAGTGGACACTGCTAGAAAAATCTCCAGTTGCCGGCATGAGTACGTACCAGTACCCACAGTGGAGCACCTACAGGGACACTACTTGAAGAACCACCAGTTAAGTTTAATGGTTCTTGCTTACTGGGAAATGGTTAACCATTACCCAGGAGCGGCCCACTGCAGGTAGAGGGCAACTCTCCCCTTCCCCGAAGGCTGCTGCTTCTGGCCCCGTGTGAGGCTGCCAACTCCTAGCCTGCGTGAGCAGGGAGCCAGCAACCCAGAGTGGGACCAGAAGCAGTGGGCTGAAGCAGTCTTTGCCCACAGCATGGGGGCCACTCCCGCCCATCCCTATTTAATCAGTTAACCAGTTAAAATTAACATTTAACGGATTAACTAATTAAATGGGATTTTACATCCCTAAAAGGCACAGATATATGGTTTTACCAGACATCTCATAAATAAGCATGCTTACATGACATATGTGCATACAAAGTCTGGAATAATAGTATGACACAACTGATTAACAGTTTTGCACTACTTTTCCATGTTATCAGTTCCAGTGATTAATTACATCACTAGTGATTAGACAAATTAAGTTTTTAAATTATTTTTTTCCGGAAGAGTTTTTAGGGATACCTGACAATTTTACTCACCCATTTATAATCATGCTCATCACTAAGTCAGAGCTCCACAGTTTCTCTTTGAAATAAAAACAATTAGTAATCTGTCTTTAACAGATGATGATACCTGTAGCACAGGTAGCACAGCAGAGACAAGGCTGCGGAGTGCAGAACACAAACCAACCTGAAAATAGTTGTTACATACTCTGCACAGTTCAGCTAAGCCCCTGTTGCCATTGCTCATGGTAGCTATGCCACTCTAAACTTGCAGTAGCTTTCATCAAGCAAGGAAATCATGCCCCTAATTCACAATGCACAGTATCTTAACAGAACTTAGAACCACCATCTTTCTCTGAAGCAGCTGATACATTTACTATGCCGGCAGCAAGATGAATATAAAATAACTCAAACCTATTCAGAAATGAAGAAAAACTCTTCCTAGCCAGTTATGTTGCAGTACAGTTGTCATGTACTGAAAATTCATAGGATCATCAAAAGTAGAGGAAGAAACAGCGAGCAGAAGAATCAAAAGAAGTATAAGGTGATGGCACAGACCCCATAATCTCTGTTCTTCCTCCTTTTCAATTCTTGGCAAATTCTCAAGAGAGTATCCCATTAATAAACTAGATATTCTGGCATACATGCAGCCTGATTTAATGAAGCTAGTTAACACTGGTCCTCCAATTGACAAGGAAGTACTTTTGCCGTTATATATATATCCCAGATTCTGTAATTTCCACTCCAATTCATCTGATAAAATAGGTAGCAGGACGAGGGTGACCGGAGAGCCCTCGCCAGGGAACCCCAAGCTGAAGTGGGGCTGGCCCACGTGGGCATCCCTGGCCGGGGAACCCACGGAATCCCACCAGCAGTGAGGCAGCCCTAGCAGCGGGGTAGGATAGCCGGGTGGCCCCAGCTGGGAACTCTAGGAAACACTTTGCGGAACTGGGGCCAGCAGCAGCCAAGCGGTCCCCATGGGGAACCCCAGGAGACCCTGGGACAGTGGGCAGGCAGCAAAGTGGGGAGACCTGCACCAGCATCAACAGGACCAGCAATAGGTCAAGGAGCCTCAAAGACAAGAAATCTGGGGGCAGCCAGCAAGGGAGCACTGACCTCCCCTGGTCCAGCAAATTCCCTAGTCCAAAGCAGCTTAAGTCTCAAGGGTGCTGGACCAGAGAGGTCCAACCCGTACAGTTCCAACAGCCAAAGAAGCAGTCACGAATCAGGAGACTCAGCCAGAAGTAACAGTAACCAAAGGGAAGACCTTATTCACCATTCCAGGATGTTTTGTGAGTAGATAAGATTCACAGATGTGAGATCCAGAATCATGATTCATGGATCTTCTAGATAGCATACTGATCTTGTAACTGGTCTTTCAAGCCAATGAAAAGACTATTTTGAGCAGCTGTCAAAAATGCCCATACTAGGGAATGAATAACAGGCCTTTGAGCTAGAAATGTAAATGGTTAACTGGTAAATTGGTAAGCCCCACTCTTAACGGGTGAGGCTTACTGGTTCTGGTTCACTGGCAGGAGCTGCTTCTGACCTGCAGGGCCCATAGCAGCCCCTGTCCATGACAGGCCCAGCCCGGGCGCCATGCTGCAGGTTACACGCTGGCTCCCCGGGAGCAGGAGGCTGACATAATTTATATATAAGCTTTGTTCTGCAGAGCCCGCAGCACATGTAACCATGTCACCGCTAGGATTTTTAGCAGTTGCTCAGTTACATTTTTAAACAACTTTTTACATTCCTACTTTGAACACTGGCTCAATGCTTGCTTGCTCAATTAAAATATACCTCATTTTAAACCAACAAAGTCTTTACTGATCAGAACAAGGGCCGCTGGATTCAGATTACTTTCTGTAATATGAAGGCATGAGTTCCTGGATTTAGAGAACTGCTTATGTACATCTTGGCTTAAAAACATTTTGAACAGTTCTCCTCTCATCCTTCAGTACAATGGCAAAGGGAATCAAGGTTTTCCATAACCCCAGATGGCTTCTTGCTGAGTCAAATCAAAATTTAAGAGCTTAGCTTCAATTTACTTTCCTACAGTTTCTTTATTGACAAAGACAAACTTTAAGCTCTATACTTTGATTTCAGATCCACGGTCTGGTGCTTCAAAAGAAGAGGGGGGAAGAGGTGGGTGTCATCTGGGTAGGATGAACTGAAGTTTTGCTGCCTCTTTACCCTGGTTTCCATGCTGCGGTCAGCAATGCTAGATGATTACTAAAGGAGAGTCTGAAGCACATTTGACTGAGTATCTGCTCGCCATAATACATCACAAGGGCTTCCTTTAGATCTAGTTCCTTTGTTAAAGTCAGCTACTCTGACTCTTGCTCATGGAACTGAAGGCTCAAGACTGTCATGCCTGCTGCTAGGCCAGCTGTCCATTGAAATGTGTCATAGGGTTTCCTATAGATTTATCTCTTTCCTGCCTCCTCTAAAAGCAGCCTGTTAAAGATCATGCTTCCTACAAGCAGCTGAAGGCTGAGATATAATCAGACCCTCATACAGAAGGGTATAATGCAGCATAAACTGACAACTTTATGTACTGGGGAAAGGGCACAAATAAAGTAAAAGTTAAGGGCCTGGAAGAGGTCAGAATGGGGGAGAGGAGGCTGAAAGGAAAGTTGTTCCTTAATAGACCCTTAAAAGATGGTGGAGGTATAAATACCAACTTCCCTTCCCGGGGTGATTTCAACACTCACTGAACTTAGCAAGAGGCTTAAATGGTCCAGAAACACTTTACATCAGCTTCGATATCTTTTTAGGTAATACATATGGTAAATGAAAATTGATAATGTTATAAAAATCAATATGTAAATACAAAAGATGAATCTTTTACTGCCCCATTTTTTAATTAAGGAACTTATGCAAGTATGATTTGGACAACAAAATATTTGATAGAATTATTTTAATGCTTACAGTTCAGATTGAGATACCAGTCCCTTTGGGCATGCTTCCGATTCCATATAGCTGAACCAATAGAACAGATTAAAGACATGGCAATAAGAATGCAGAACAAAATTAATATCTGAATATTTGTTATTCGTTCCACATTAGAGAGTTTAAGAGGTGGGCTAGTTGAATTCTGTGAAATACAAGAAAATTGTAAATAAGTATGAAATGTGGTACATGAGTAGTTTTCTACTGTTTTCAAACTATCTTGTTGTGTCTCTTTCTACACATTCTATATATCTGATCATGTCAGCATAGATTTCATAATATGTATCCTGAGCATTATGTCTGATCTTACAGAAAAATCATAACAGCAGCTAGTAGCAAAATACAACATCCCAAAAAATCATCTCAGTACAGAATAAACTTGTTTACAGACATTAAAGTTGAATCAATCCATTTCAAATCACTGACCTTTGCAAATTAGAAAATGAATAAATGTAATAAAAACAAGGATAATATATCACTAAACAAAATGTATTCATTTATTTTCACAACTACAAATCACTTGTGATATTTGAAATACCAGAAAAAAGTCATAGCATTTTGGGATTTTGACATTTTCCTCTCCCCCAACTTTCAAATGAATTAATTTCACACTGTTTCTAAAAGGATTCTTCCTTCTATGCTATGAGGAAGACACATAATAAGACAGTTTAGCAAGCAGTCCTAAAATCAAACAATGGTTATCAAGCAAACGACAGTGATCCAGATTGGTAAAATCACCATTTCAATATGAATTTTAAAGGAACAGGACGTGCCTGTCACTGAAAACTCGATCTAACTCACAAAAAACAGCTTTGTTACAAATAGACTATATTTTAAATGTTTTCTTGAAGCCAATATTAAAATAGATCTTTGGTCTCTTTAACTTAAAATATTGTAAAGACACAAAGAGTAAAGATGGCTTCTGTTTAACAAGAACTGTATCAAAACTTAACAAAATAGAGAATTTATAAAATATGCATTTTTAAATGACAAACCTGCATGAGTTTTGTATCATGTCCAGTATAGACAACTATTCCATGAACCCACTGAGTATTTCTTAGTTGAGCTCCTCGTAGTAGAATTTGGTCAGGTCCCAGTGGAACAGTACTGGAAGAAAGCATTTTATACTTTTTCAGTATAAAATAATTTATCACCTGTTAAGCATCTCAGATTGAGTGCTGAAAAACTTAGGGATTCACAAAATCACCATTATTTCTTAAAAATCTTGGCTACGTCACTAAATACAAGACTATTAAATGGGCATTTTGAAAATAACACTTAATATTAGAAATTTTCCTTTATTTTGTATAATAGCATGAGAAATATCTTCAGAGAGTCATATGTATTTATAAACTGAAATTCATCCATTCTTAAGAGGGGTAGCCATGTTAGTCTGTTTCAGCAAAAACAATGAGAAGTCCTATGATACTTTAAAAATTAACAAATTTATTTGGGCATAAGCTTCTGTGGGCTGGAGTCCACTTATTCAAATGCATAAAATGGGACACTTCAATTTGGCAGGAATATATACACATAGAAAGATTGGAGTGTTACATTACTGTGGGGAAGATCAATGCTAACAAGGCCAAGTCAAGTGGATGTGGCCCACTTCGAACAGTTGATGAGGTGAGAATACCAAAAGAGGGGGAAATTACTTTCTGTAGTGAGCTAACCACTCCCATTTTCTATTCAGACCCAGTCTGATGGTGTCAAATTTGCATATGAATTCCAGCTCTGCAGTTTCATACTGAAGTCTGATTCTGACATTTTTTTCTCAAGTATGGCAATTTTCAATTCTGTTAGTGAGTGTCCAGAAAGGATGAAGTGTTCTCCTACTTGTTCCTGATTGTTATTGTTCTTGATATCTGATCTGTGTCATTTATTCTTTTGGGTAGAAACAATTCGGTTTGGCCAATGTATAGATCAGAGGGGCATTTATGTGGCCAGGTCCAATGATGGTGTCACTTGGGTAGATATGTGGACACAACCAACTATGCACCACACAACACAAAATAATAATCCAGAAACCATTCCCTACAACAAATCCCATTTCCAGCTCTGTCCACATAGATACACAAATGACAGCAATGCCGCTCTGCCATGTAGTTTCCAAATTAATTCTTAAATGACTCTAATAATGTTATTTGAACTATCACATTAGGATATTTCAAATACAGCATATCAAACAAACATATATCCTTTATACACATGATCCTCTATTTAAAATGTATAGTAATCTGATTTTTTTTAAGTTGTATGTTCTTTACTTTCAGATTGCAAAACAAATTGATAATATTTGTATCGGTTAATGTATGTACTTCAGTTAAATAGTATTCTTCATAAAGCAGCATTATGAAAATATACATATTTTTTATTTTCTCTTGCTAATTTTCTGCTCTCATTTCTAGAAAACTGATGCAATGAAGCCTGTTTTATTCCATTCCCTTTACACAGTAGCAGTCTAAATGTTTCCAGCATCCTTAGAGGATGTTGTCCATGTTCATGATTTTTGGGTCCAGATTACAAAAGGAGGAAATCTATCCACACTTTCCTTTGCATATTGCTTCACTTTGCATCTAAGCTCTTCCAAGCAGTCTTGCCCAAGGCCTAATCTCTACGCAAGACATGAAGGCCTAGGAGCTGCAAGTGAGGATGAATCAATGACAATTTTTCCAAAAAATTCCTAGATTCTTCAATCTATTTCCACTAGCAATGCCTTCACAAAAATGAAGGGCTTGACTAAACTATGAAAATATGTTTCTGCCAGATCTACCAATGTTAGCAGAGCAGCTGAAGAGACAAGCTGTGATGGAAGTCAGAGCCTCTATCTTGAATCCTATCTTCTTCATTAATTAGTTAAGCCTTAAGAGACTTAAACCTACATGGACTCTTCCTCATCTTTTTTCTTACTATGAAGACTATGGAACAGAATCCTAATCACTTTCTATAAACAGATTCTATCAGGCCCACCAACAAGGGGGAAAAGAATGCAGTTGCCCTGGGGCCCAGCAATTCAAAAGGACTTGGGACTCCTGGCTGCCACCTCTGCTACTGCCTCACCTCCTCTGAATCACCACAGGAGGACCAGAGCGCTGCTCCACATAGCTCTGGGTGTGGGGTGGAGGCACGGTGCAGGCAGCTTTGAGGGCTGACTGCCCTGATCCCATCCCTTCTGCCCAAGGCCCGACCCCTTCCAAGGGGCGCAGAACCAGCCCCCTGCCACACCTTGTCCCAGGTCCTGCGGTGGCCATTGGCCCTGCTGGATTCTATTGCTTCCAGCTACAGGAGGTGCAAGATATCCAGCAGGATGATTTTATGTTTCTCATCATTTTTCAAGGTTGAAGAGCATATAAAGAAAAGATGTGGGGGAGCTTAGAACACCAGAGGATATCTGTGATACTTGAATGCAATAAGATGAAATGTGGAATATCTTGCCTCTGAGATCTATTTCTGGACAGAGGCAGTCACTGTTGCAATCATACTGCTTGGACTGGAAGACAGATAGATTTGGAATTATTCCCTGAGATGAGTTTTCTCAATTGTTTCAGATCTTGGTATTATCTATAGAATAATGGAAGACCATTCTCTCTCTCTCTTATACTTTTGTTTTGCATATGAATGAAGGAAACTTCAGCTTTTGTACAATGATTTGTCCTTCTTAGACTTGGACTGAAGAGCAAAGACTTTGATTTGTATGCATTAAAGATTACTTCACTCTGAACAAGAAGAATTTGCTTTGAATAGTTACCTATTGTTGAGATGTTAAACCAGGTTTGGGGCTTGAAAACTAAATTAGTAGCCGGAGATCTTACTGACAGCCTCATGAGGTCTATGAATTCATCCATTGTAACTGTAGTAGCTAAAGATATTTTCTTTACTATTGTATTGAATTTGTCCTATTTCTGGGGATTAAGATTTGGTTACTGGAACAGGATACGGTAGCTCTGGCAAAGCACATTGCTTCCAATAGGGCTATCAAGTAGCTGAAGAATCTCTGAAGTCACTTCTAACTGGCACTTCTACCTTCCTGTCTAGAAGATTATTTAGGATGAAATTGTGTCTTTGTCAAGGTTGAAACTGCTAGGTTCTATGATCCTGTAGATTTTCAGGGCTTGGTTGACCAACCCTTTTCCTTTTATCAAGCATTTCCTAACCCCAACTAATGATCTTAAAAGGAGATATGAAGGGGAATGGTAAAGTTGTTTTAGGTTTCGTTATCAGGCATTTGCTTGTGATTTTAACCCACTCATCCTATTTTTCTGGCCAGATTTTAACAGTGGCCCCTATCTTCCCCCTCATGGTTTCAAAAATGTCTGGGGGAAGAAATCTTCAGAAGAGGCTAGAAGGTCTGCTCCTAAAGCTAGATTTTATTATACAAAGCCAAGAGCTCCTCAATTCTTTGAGGGAAGAACCAAAGATCATGGAAGAAGTTACTTACCTTCATTCAGTAACAATGGTTCTTCGAGATGAGTCCCCGTGGGTGCTCCATTCATGGTGTCTGGCTCGTCCTGGCGCCACGGCTCGGAGACTTGCATAGCCATGCTCTCCTGGTCCGCGCATGTGCAAACAGCGGCTCGCACTGTTCGCGCCTTTCATCTGTTGCGCGCGGTCCGGCCCCGCTCAGTTCCTCTCAGCCACCCAAGCATCTGTAATGATAAAGAGTCAAATTCCGGAGTGGGGAGGAGGGCGGGGCATGGAGCACCCACGGGGACACATCTCGAAGAACCATCGTTACTGCACGAAGGTGAGTAACTTCTTCTTCTTCCTCTTCTTAGAGTGGTCCCTGTGGGTGCTCCACTCATGGTGACTTCGGAGCAGTACCCAAGAGAGAAATGCACTTTGGAATTAAGGTTTATTAACAGGAGGGAGTACTGCCATTGCCACCAAGGAGTCTGAAGTCAAATGATGCAGTATTGCATAATGTCTCATGAAAGTCTCATTGGAGGACCACGTTGCCAATTGGCAAATGTCCCAAAATGGTAGTCCTCTTAAAAAAGCTGTAGATGTGGCCACTGCTCTCGTGGAGTGTGCTTTAGATTAAGCTGGGAGTGGTTTATTACATAGAGAATAACATGTAGTAATGCATGTCACTATTAAGTTCGCAATGTGTTGGGGGACAATGATTGCCCCTTGGAAGGAGCCACCAGTGTAACCATAAGGTGGTCCGTTCTGCGGAAATCTTGCATTCTGTCCATATAGAAAGCTAGAGTCTTGCGTATATCAAGGGTATGCAGCGTTGCCTCACGTGGTGAGGTATGCGGTTTGGGGCAGAAACAGGGAAGCAGAATGGGCTCGTTGATATGAAAGTCCGAGCATACTTTGGGAAGGAACGCTGGGTGAGATCTTAACATGACCGAGTCCTTTGTAAATATGGTATAAGGCGATGATGACATGAGGGCCGCCAGTTCACTTACTCTACGTGCTGAAGTCAAGGCTAGTAAAAAGAGAGATTTAATTGTTAGCAGGTGTAGTGAGGTTGCAGCCAATGGTTCAAATGGGGGATGTGTCAACGTATCTAGCACCAAACTGAGATTCCATGAAGGCAGTGGAGGCCTCCGTGGTGGGTTAAGATTCATAAGTCCCCTCAGAAACCATTTTGTCATGGGGTGAGAAAAAAAGGAAAACCCATCCATCGCAGCGAAAGGCAGTAATTGCTGCTAAATGTATTCATAAGGAGGCTCCAGATAGACCCCTTTGAAGCTATACTAGACCCCTGTTATTAGTATATAGTCGAGAATCTTATGTATCCATGAAGTATGGGGGTCGATATTTTCAGTGCACCAAGACTGAAATCTAGTCCACTTAGTAGAATATGTGGCCTGTGTAGAGTCCTTTCTGCTGGACATTAGTACATGTTTGACTCAATCGGAGCAGAGGTTCTCAAATGCTGTGAACCACTTAGCATCCGAGCGGTCAAATGCAGGATTTCGGGTCTCGGGTGCCATAGAGAGCCATTGCATTGAGTTAGTAGATTCGAGGCAACAGGAAGATGGCATGGTGTTTTGATCGACAGCTGGTGAAGCATCAAATACCATGGTTGGCGAGCCCAAGCTGTAGCTATGAGGGTCACACAAGCCACGTCCATGTTGATTTTTTCTATGAACATG